GGTGGGGGGAGTGCCACATGAACTGTCTTAAATCTGCCACTCCCCCCGCTTCCGCATTCAAATTGCCACCAGTCTCCCAACCCCTAGATCTTTCTCTATTGCCATCGGTCTATCGCGACCTGGCCAAAGTGTTTCGTAAAGATCGAGTTCGGGCATTATGCACCCCACAGGCTGAATGACTGCGCAATGGAACTGCTCCTGCACCCATCCTGGCACAACCCGACTTGCACCTCCAGTTTATCGTGGAGGTGGATGCCTGGGATTCTGGAGTCGGCGCCACCCTCTCCCAGCAACGAGATGGTAAGCTATGGCCCTGTGCCTTTTTCTCTCGCCATCTCTCTCCTACAGTGCCCAACTATGATGTGGGAGACTGGAAGTTCTTTGCAATCAAACTGGCCTTGGAGGAGTGGAGGCACTGGTTGGAGGGCATGGCTCAGCCATTTATCGCTTAGACAGACCATAAGAACCTGGCTTACTTACATGGAGCAAAATGACTCAACGCACTGCAAGCCAGATGGGCTCTTTCCTTCATCCGCTTTAACTTCTCAATTACATACATGCCAGGGTCCCGGAATGTGAAGCTGGACGCTCTGTCCTGGCAGTTTTCGACGCACAAGGAGAAACAGGATCCTGAGCCCATCCTTCCAGCAACTTGCACTATTGGAGCAATCACATGGGAGATCGAGTTGGCCGTTTGGGAGATTAAGAGCCGAACCGGATCCTGGAGGAGGGCTCGCAGGGCAATCTTTGTTCCGTCCACCGTCCACTCCCGGGTGCCACACTGGGCTCATACCGCCTGCTTCACATGCCATTTAGAAGTAAACAGAATGATTACCTTCATCCAGCGCTATTTCTGGTGACTCACCTTGTCACCAGATGCTCAGGAATATGTCTCCACCTGCTCTACATGTGCCCGAGACAAATTGGGGAATCAACCACCGACTGGCTTGCTACAACCACCAGCTCAGCCGTGGTTTAATATCACGTGGACTTCGCCATCGGCCTACCCCCGTCAGCAGGTAACAGCACAATAATGACTGTTGCTGATCAGTTTTCTAAACCTGCTCACTTTGTAGGACTTCCTAAAGTCACATCGGTCCTGGAGACAGCCCAGCAGCTCACTAACCACGTGTTCGCCCTCCATGGCATCCCGGAGGATATAGTATGGGATCATGGACCTCAATTAACCTCTCAGGTATGGAAGGAACTCTGCTCACCTCTAGAAGAAAAGGTTAGTCTCTCTTCTGGTTACCACAGAGCAACGGACAAACGGAGCACGCCAGTCAGGAGCTGAAGACTATGCTTCACTGCATCGTCGCCTCCAACCAAACCATCAGGAGCGAGCAATTGCCCGGGGTGGAGTATACCCACAACAGCTTGAAGTCTTCGGCTACAGGGCGTACTCCCTAGGGTATCAGCCCCCCCGTTCTTGGCCGTGGAAGGTGAGTACTTTGTTCCTTTGGTCCAGTTTCACCTTTGCATGTTTCGCCAGCTTTGGAGGGCCACTCAGGTGGCATTGTTACGCACCAAAGAATGCAACAAACATGCCGACTGGCATAAAACTCCCGCTCCAGAATACACCATCGGTCAGAAGGTACAGTTGTCCACACACTACGTACCTCTTCATACTGAATCTAAGAAACTCAAATCAACATTCATCAGGTTGTTTGAAATCGCAGCGCTGGTTAACCCAGTTTCTGTTTGCCTTAATCTCTCTCATAATATGAAAATACACAACGTCTTTCATGTGTCCCAAATAAAGTCATGCCTCTCCAATCCATTGTGCTGAAAAGAAGGGTATGAGTGGATTACCTTGCTTTTCCCCCCCCATAGCCCCAGACCAGTTCCCAAGTCACTGTAGGAATAGATCTATATTATATATTATATTATATTATATTATATATATTTTTCCCTGACCAGAACTCTGTCTGCATGTGAATCCATCTGTCAGCCATGACAAGATGTCCCCACAAGGATATGAAAACACAACTCTGTGTGTGTGTGTGTGTGTGTGTGTGTGTGTGTGTGTGTGTGTGTGTGTGTGTGTGTGTGTGTGTGTGTGTGTGTGTGTGTGTGTGTGTGTGTGTGTGTGTGTGTGTGTGTGTGTGCAAGTAAGTGGGTGTATGTACTGGTGGGAATTTACCTGCATCTCTCTCATGCAGATGAGACTGGAGACAGCTGGATGTCTGTGGACAGTCTCTGCCTCCTCTGTACGCACACATGTTACATCACGGTTTAAATCCACAATAAGACAATAAAATGCTGATATCTCACATGCATAGCATCCAAAGCACATTTGCTATTTGATTTTAATTATGTTAATTATCACAGTGTGTTGCATGCTGTTGATGGTGCTGTGATTAGGTTTTCTGCACAATATCAGTAGCAACTTTTCTAATAATTTTGCTTTTGGCAGACATATGCTAAGGCCTGATTCTGACTAATACCAAAGACTGAAGCTCGCCATCATAGGATTGTGTTTACTTTGTAAATGTATAAATGTGAAACTGATGGTCACATCTGGAGGAAGAAAGATTTATGTAATAGATGAAGGTGGAAAGGATAGATTGTCAAACAGGTACAATGATCCTCTGCTGTCCCCCTAGTCAAAAAAGAAGTAATGCAAATAAATCCCACCCCTTTTTTTCTCTCTCTGTCTCCCTCACTTCTGGATCATTGTGGGTTTTCCTTCTTGTCTTCACATGGAAACAGAACACTGGGTTCTACTTTAACCGCTCTGTGAAACATTCGGTCCCAGTACATCCTGACTCATAACTCTCACACACACAGGCTTTATGCACCTGCCACATCTTTTTTCACCTTCACTTGTAACTGATGAGCACTCCATTGGGAATCTAAACTAGCTGTTTTCTTCAGCTACATGAGTGAGACACTGATGCATTAAAACCCAGCAAACACAATTTAGATCTGCTCTCGACTGCTGATGTTTTCCTGCACTTGTGTTCAGTGATTGAGGACAGCATTCATCGCTCCCAGTGAACAGAGAGCATCATCAGACTGGTCCCGTGATGCTCCCTGTCAAAGAAAATTGACACTGGCAAGCTTATCTATAACCTCTGGCACAGTTCACAAATTTCTTGCTTATGTAAAAATATCAGCACAATACAGAAACTCTTCATCACAACAGTCTCTCTACTGAAGAGTCAGCCCCTCATGATGTCAGACAGAACCTCCCCTGGTTGGCGTCAAATACACGACACTTCAGAGAACTTATAAATGAACACCTGTAACACACTCAGCGTCACACTTACTGCCCAGCTTAGAGAAATCATTCAAACAGGTGAGTAGAACATTGAGATGCTTTAAAATGCTTCAAAGGCCAATGTGATTTTGTACATGGGTTTTATTTCAAGAAGTTTGTTTCTAATCAGACTGCTTCACTCAGTATTTGTCCTTGATAAGAGCACAGATGCCAAACCATATATTAAAGTAACAGATCAATAATTCAGATTTGAGGGATGAGGGGTTAACTCTGTTTTGCAAGAAATTATCAAAGTGAGAAATAGACAGAGGTCCGTTTACTTTCTCTTCGTTTGACATTGCGCACATCTTCATCTTCATCTTCGTTATGCATGGAGTGACTTTATTTAATAACAAACGGTAGCATTTCTGCGTGTTTTAGCTGTAAAGCAAAAAACATATGAAATTATCTACAGTGACTAGAATTCTGCAAAGGACAAATCTGAAATTTTTTTAAGAAAAAATAATTTTTGGTGGGTAATTACAATATGAGTTTTCATAAAACATGATAGAAGTAATCAAAATTTCAAAATCAAATATTTAATAGCCTTTGCTTTCATGCATTATTGGATGCAGTGCAATACAATAATCAGCAAAAATCACCTCATCAGAATTTTAAAAATGCAAATCAACATCAGTACAGTGCTGTGATCCACACCTGATTAAACCCTCAGAAATGTGTTCTTTGTAAATTCTGTAATATAGACTTCATTTTCCAGTGATTGCCCAAAGAAATATACAATTGATTAGATGTGACATTTCCAGGGACGAGCATCTTTGCCAAAGATTACTCCTCCCGTGATTAGTCCCACCGGAGTGTTTGCAGCAGAAGCACGTCAGAAACATTGCCCACTAAGGAACAGAGCTCAAGAAAGGTCTGTATTATAGCAGAACAGTTCCCTTGATGGCAAGGAACAGTCACAGCCTCTGGCTTATTATAGTCCATTACTTGAGGTAGCTCAGGTGTACTCCATTTGAAACAAAACATTCACATTGTTCAAATCAAGCTGACTACGAGCTGCTGCAAACATTCCCGAAGCCCAGAACAAAACCTGATATTCATCAAAAAAAACTGCAGAAGAAACATCAAAAATCTTCTTTTAGGACCCAAAGACGGAGAACCTAAGCTTGTGGCTTATGAATGTTTTTATTCCATCAGTCCACCTTTGATAAAATTCATTTTCCAAGTTATCATTCTTCTATATTGAAATTAGCTTAAAGATGAGCTAAATGTCAGAAATGGGCTTTTAAAAGCTCCCAGAAATGACCAAATTCCCACTGACATTACTTACAATAATCTTGAACAGAATATGACCTTTTCCATTTTAATTTGGCAATCACTGCCCTTTTTATCCTTCTGTGAAAGGGTGGTGCTTTTAGAATGACTCTCTTAAGTGAGTTACATGTTCCTAGGGGGAGTCACGTTTCCCAGAGGAGAGTCCGCACAGACACAATAACATGATAACAGATAAGGAGAAGCCCTGACGGTGTTTATGACATGTTTTTACTGTCTCTGGAGCTACTTTATCTCTACTTGTAAGATGAATCTCAGCAGATCAGAAGCAGGGATTCTAATTAACAGACAGGCTGTGGCTTCACTAATTTAAAAGAAATTGAAACACTTTAATTGCATGGCTTCAGTGGTATCAGCTGCTGTTTTCTACGACTGGTCAGAAGTAGCTCAATAATCCTTCTCGCTCCTCTCCCATCAGACTGCTGATTCTTGTGGTAGCACAAACATGGACACAAATGATTCATCACTCAGCTCAACATCCATCCTGACCCAGCTGCTTCTCAATACCACAGCATTCATAAACAGCACGGCAACATCCTTCAGTGCAGTTGATGGGTGCGAAAACCTGATAGAGGCCATTCTCTTTGACCTGGCCATGCAGTGCATCAATGTAATTTTGGGTATCCCGGCCAACTTACTCGTCATTGCTATTCTCATCCACAATCGCAAAGAGCCCTCCACTTCAGACATATTCTTGGGCTGCTTGGCCTTCATGGATGCCTACTTTGGTGCAATGACGACTGTGAGCTTTCTTAATGTCTACCTCTGGCAGCTCAAAGAGGTGTGGTCAGCCATTAAGTTCTCCTTTGGCGTGAAAGACACCAGCGGTCCGTTGTTCCTCTCCTGCATCTGCTTGGATCGCTTTGTAGCTGTACTCTTTCCAATCGCTTTTGGGCAACTTAAACACTTCAAGTACAGGTTAGGCCTCTCAGTGCTGGTGCTCTGCCTCACCTTTGCCTACTCAGCAGCCAAGATGGTGGGAGGACTCCCCAACTTTGAAAAGTTGTTCACCGGTGAGGTACTGGCAACATTTACTTGGATGGTGGTGTGTAACGCAAGCATCCTGTGGGCACTGAAGAAGTCCACCGGTGCAGGGAAAGATGCAATGCACCCCATGAAAAAGAAGGCCTTCAAGATGGTGCTCTCTATCCTGTGTATCATCGTGTTCAACTACCTGCCACTTGTTGCTCTGTTTCCATTTGAGGACTACTACTCACCTGATGTGTTTCGCTGCTACGTGCAGCCCGCGGGTTTTGCCTTTCTGAACATCAGCAGCACAATCCAGCCCCTTGTCTACTTGTCTCGTCTAGAGAAGGTGCCTTTCCTCTCTGACGCCTGCATTAAAAAGATTACTTCCTGTTTCAACCCAGAGAAGAACCAGAATCCACAGGAGCAAAACCCACCTGCTTAGATTCACAAAATATAAAAATATAACACACATATTAAAATTTATGAAAAATAATTGTCTGCAACTGTGAGAGTCAAATCCTGAGTGTAAAGTCCTGCTTTGTTTTTGTTTGTTTTTTCACAGTTTACGTTTTACTTGAATGCATTTTTTTCATAATCAGTGAAAGAAATCTGTATCGAAGATTGAATCAATAATTAATCAACAACTAGTAGACAATGTTAAAATTATAAGCATTTTAATTTCATGTTTTCATAATGTGATGAATTTCTATGAGGAACATGTGAACTATTTGATTGTGTTTTGGCGCCACCGTGAGGACAAAATACATCAATAAACTTTATCCTTCCAGTGAATGTGTGGACCAGTGACTGTGGTGAGGTTGTGAGGACATTTAGGCTCAGAATCCCAATCAGTATCATACTGATAGCAAAAGGAGCATCTATCTGTTTCATGTGTGATGTCTTTCTCAAGGTGCATGGTGCAGGACGGGGTGTATACATTCCCCACATACCTCTCCAACATAATAATGAATGAATAAGTCAAACAGTGAGTTTTTAACAAGGGTTAGTGTTTGCCACACACCAAAAACTCAGCTGCACCACTACAGGGAAAAAACACTACATATGATTTTATTAAATGTAGTTAAATGTGTTTTATACAGATCTATATTTGCTTTCCTACTGAGTGAACATTCATGCCATGCTCAAATGTATAAAGCAGACATGGCATACAAACCAATTGAAAAAGCCATCTTAACAACTAAATCTGTCTTCCAACACCTCTATAACCTATAATTAAGACCTGCTATATCATCCTCTTTAAATCCCAACATAAAGCGTGATTGTAAAGTTTACAGTTCATCATTTTAAAAGGGGTTTTATAACAAGGAGCTAATGGGGTCTCTGGAAAGTTATTATTCCACACTACTTACCCCTGTAAAGTTATTAGTTACTCTCATACTTGTGGTTTTGAACTAAATCAATTAACCAAAATATATTATGTTTGTACATTAGATAAAGATAGGGTAGAAATTTCCATCTTTGTCCTAAGCTAACCAGCTTCTAGCTTTTGTTGCACATACAGTCAATGAACATTTTGTTAGGTACACCTGTTCAGCTGCTTGCTAAAGTAAATATATAATCAGCCAATCAAATGGCAGCAGTTCAATACATTTGGGTAGGTAGGCATGGTTAAGACATCTTACTGAAGTTCAACTTGAGCATCAGAATTAGAAAGGATTTAAGTGACTTTGAACGTGGGATTGCTGTTGGTGCCAGATGGGATATTGTGAGTATTTTAGAAACTGCTGATCTAATGGGAATTTTCCACACAACTATCTCTGGAGTTTAAAGAGAATGGTCCAAAAGAAAAGGGATTATATTGCATCAGTAAGCCTTTCCTCTCAGTTCAAAGCAGCAACTCAAAGAATCACACATTAGATGGGCTACAGCAGCAGAAGACTGCATTAGGTCCTGTCAGCTAAAAACAGGAAACTGAGGCTAAAGTTCATACAGGCTGAACAAAACTGGACAATAGAAAATTGGAAAAATGATCCCTGGTCTGATGAGTTTTGACTTTTAATGCAACATCCACATGGTTGGATCTGAATTTAATATAAGATGAAAGCATGGGTCCATCCTGCATTGTCTCAACGGTTCAGTGGGGAATATTCTTGGCACACTTTATACTGTTAAAATGCCACAGCCCACTTGAGTATTGTTGCTGACCATGTCCATCCCTTTATGGTAAATGGACTGGTTCTCATATAATGCACTTCTACTCTACTGGAGCGCTCAAAGGGCTTTATGACCAAAGTGTACCCATCTGCTGATGGCCAATTCCAACAGGATATTACAGCATATTACAAAGTTCAAATACTCTTAAATTGGGTTTTATGACAGTGAGGTCACTGTATTCAGATTAGCTCCACAGTCACCAGATCTCAATCCAACAGAGCACCTTTTGGATGAGGTTGGAACAGGAGATTTGAATCACGGATGACAAACCTGCAACAACTGTGACACTATTGTGTCACCATAGACCAAAATCTCTGAGAAATGTTTCCAGCACTTTGTCGAATCTGTGTCACAAAGAATTAGGGCAGTTCTGAAGTCCAAAGGAGGTCCGACATTGTACTAGCAAGGTGTACCTGATATAGTGTCCAGTGAGTATACATCAAGCCTGAAGAAGGAGCAATATTCCCATTACAGTAAAATGACTGCTTCAGTGGTAACATTACAGCAGGTCACTCCTCCCCACTTTGATAGTTTGACATTCATTTCATCCCGGGATTACATTTTCTCGCTTGATAAAGAATAAATGAGTCGTCCACTTATTGCCGCAACATTGTGACAAGTACCCTCTCTGGCAGTATTCGCAATGGATGACTGCTCTGTGTATAAAAATATGGAAATAAAGGTTCAGTGAAGGAGTGTGTAAATGCATATAAGAGTGTGTTGTCAGTGGCGTCAAAAAATGACACCGTTCCCTTGTTGTAATCGAGCTGAACTTTGACCTGCTTAGGTGTTCTAGAAACTGTCAGCAGGCTGGGTGGGGAGGCCATTGCTCTCAGGTCTCCATCCCGGAAACATAAAGTCCAGAAGCCATTCTTGGGCCGGGCAGAGATCTCTGTGTTTCTCGGTACAGACATGGAGGCAACACCCAGGAGCCAGTCATGATTACTTCCTGTTTCCACAACCCAGTGGTGACTTCCTGAGCCTAGTGCGGTCATGCCTACCACTTCAGCGCTCATATGGAAGCGCTCTGGGTTGTCAGGACATACACTGGGCTGCTTTGAGTAGTGCAGGGAAGTGAGATCGTCAGACAGGATGAGGCAAGGGTGTGCTGTGTTTGGATCTAAGGTTATGGGAGCTAAAAGACAGGAAATGTGCCAAAAACAATGATCTATTAATATTTTGTTGTGCAATTCTTAGGTAAAAGCGAATAATAATATTTAGGTATACTTACTATAATCAACATGGTCCAGGATTTTTTCCCAGACTCTGTACTTGAGGTTGTAGAGGTGTTTAGTCACATCAATCAGCAGCCCAGACATGTTCTCTGAACCAAGCACTATGCTTTTACATCTGTGATAACAACAGATGTCTTACACTGAGGATATGTGACACTGAAATTATTCTTCATCTCAGTAAACATGAAACAATAACTTGGGGGTAAAATGCAACTGACATATATCAAATCAAAGGTTTATTTATTCAAGTATTAATGATTAAGATAAATGTGCTTAGCAAAAACTGAATGTATACCAATCAAGTCTGAACAGATCCCATTAAACTTAACATTTTACACTCTACTCATGTAAAAAAAAGAAAAAGAAAAAAATGACACAGACCATTAATAGGTAATTACATATTTTGCACACATTTTTGTTTGCCTTTTAATAAACCTACCGGTCTTGTGTGTCTTTAAAATTCTGGGGGAGAGAAAAAAAAACATGTTAAGGCAGAGGCTTTTTGCAAACAATAAGGAGATAAGCTTCAAATTGGACAACACAAACCTTCAACAAAACCATATCGTCTTCTTTCAGCTGTTCCTGTATGATGGCGATGGTCTCCGTAAGACACGTCACCTCAGCTGAAAGCTCTTTCATTTTCTCCTTCATCCCTGCTATCTTTTCTTCTTCCTCTTTTTTCACAGCAGCTAATCTAGCCGACTCTTCGTGGTAGAGGACTTGATGCAGCTGCTCAAAATGGTTCTTGATCATTTTCTGTGTCTCCAGCGCCTGACTCTGTGGGGGGGAGATTATCACAAGCTCTTTTATTAGGTCAGGCATATTTTCCTGACAAATATGAAACATCTGTCAGCTCATCACAGGTTACCTTGATGCACATTAGTGTGTTATTGGACGGCATGTTAATTCTTTTGAGGTTGTCCAGCTTTTCTTGCAGGCTCTTGAGGGATAAAGCAAGTTCGTCCTGGAAGTAAAGCAGGCCTCAGTCAACAGACACCAAATTTAATGTGTAAAGTACTTTAGGTACTGCAGATCTGAGTTAATCCCTGAAAGGGTGCATTACATTCAGGCCTGACTTGTGGAGCAGCATTCTACCATAAGGTGTTACCTTAAAAGCAAACTGCAGAATTTGTTAAGATAACCAATAGCTATGTTTGTCTCCCTCACCTTGCAGTCCAGCAGTGCCTCATCTATAGGCGAGCAGTCGTGGGTCTTGTGCAGTTTGGACGACTGACACACCACGCAGATGGGCTGTTTGTCATTGAGGCAGAAGAGTTTCAGCTTCTCTCCATGAAGATTGCAGTTCACCTTGTCTTCCCCTTCCACTGAGCTCAGCCTCCTGACCTGAAGAACAGCCTCGCAAACATTTTTTAGCGCCAAGTTGCATGGAGGGTTGCACTTTGAAGCTTTTTTCCTACAAACTGGACACTCTCGTATCCCTGTGTCCCAGCAATGTTTTAGACAGCCCCTGCAAAAGCTGTGACTGCATGACAACAGAACAGGGTCTGTGAAAATGTCACAGCACACTGGGCACGTAAGATCCTCCTCTGGGAGTGACATGGCCAAGAGCTCGTCACGTATATAGAATAAATCCACAACTCCAACCAACAAGTCCTCGAGTTTAAGTCCTTAATGACTCCACGGTAAACAGCAACAACATAGTAGCATTATCACACCTAATTAAACTTGTCCCCAGAAAGCCTTAAAGCGTATGGACAGCTTAACTATTGTTCTTGACATGAAGTTCCAAATGCTGTTTTTCCTGTGCATGTCTACTGTGGGAGTAACATGAATCATGCAGCAGCTGAAAAAAAAGAAAGAGCCTGCATGCAGCATAGCTGGAAAGCAGGAAATAAAGCCCCATTGGCTAGTTGTTGAAGAATGGTGGAGGGTAGCTGGTAACTCAGAGCAGGTCTGGAATGTAATCATTCAGGATGTGACTGTTTTAGCGTTGACAGCCCATCCCACCAGCAAACCTTTGTTTTTACCTGGCCTTAATCTGCATACTTAAAAACTCACCATTCAATTACAG